ACAGGGTCTCACTATGTCGCCCAGGCTGGAGTGCTTTGGCGTGATCATAGCTCATAGCAGCCTTAACTTCCCGGGCTCAACTGATCCTCTCACTTCAGCCTCCCGAGTAATTGGTACTACAGGCACAGGCCAACACACCCAGCTAATTTTTGTAATTTTTGTAGAGACCAGGTTTCACCATGTTGCCCAGGCTGGTCTTGAACTTCTGAGTTCAAGCAATCTACCCACTTCTGCCTCCCAAAATGCTGGGATTGCAGGCATGCCCGGTCAGTTGTTCCATATTCTGAACCTCACCCTGGCCCCATCCCATCTCCTCCATCTCTTTCCCACGGGCTCCCGTTTCAGACGGCCACTGCTACCTGGGTCCTTGGCTCCAGCTGCCACAGCCCAATTCAGCTTCATGCGTGCATTGCTCTGACCCATAGTGACGTTCTTGTCCCCCTGCTTCTGGATCATCAGGGTCAGCTCTGAGGGGAGAGGGGCAGTAGTGATTAGGGACCCCGGGTACCAGGTGGGGCCCAGGGTTAGGGCAGGGCAGGCCAAGGTCTCACCTGTGTTCGAAGGGGAAAGGTAGGTGAAGGGGCCTTCAGGCAGGGTCTTGGCCAGGATCCTCAGGATGTCTTCAAGGTTTGAGAGCAGTTGGGTGGCTATGAGGTGCCGGACAGATGGGGCCAGGGCCTCTATGTCCCCAGGAGCTTCCATCAGTTCATCCACCAATTTGATGAGGTTCTACGGGGTGGCGGGTGACAGAATCACTGGAGCATGGGACCACAGGGGTTGCCTGAAGGACCTGGATCTCACCCCCCCTCCCCCGCCCACCAGGGGACACCCTGGAGACCCACAGGCACAAGGGAATCACTGAGATCATGCAGTAACCAGAAAACAAGTGGCGGATTGAGTATATGCCTCCATGTATGTATGAATCACAGTGCTTAACACTGGTTGGGCACAGCCTGCCTGCCAGGCTCTGTTTTGATTTTCTGTTCTTTCTTTTTCTTTTTCTGAGACAGGGTCTCGGTCTGTCTCCCAGGCTGGAGTGCAGTGGCATAATCATAGCTCACTGCAACCTCCGCCTCCCAGACTCAAGTGATCCTCCCACTTCAACTTTCTGAGTAGCTGGAACTACAGAAGCGTGCCACCACACCCAGCTAGTTTTTGTAATTTTTTTTTTTTTTTTTTGGAGATGGAGTTTCACTCCTGTCGCCCAGGCTGGAGTGTAATGGCGCGATCTTGGACCACTGCAACCTCTGCCTCCCGGGTTCAAGCAATTCTCCTGCCTCAGCCTCCTGAGTAGCTGGGATTACAAGTGTCCACTACCATGCCCAGCTAATTTTTTTATTTTTAATAGAGATGGGGTTTTACCATGTTGGCCAGGCTGGTCTCGAACTCCTGAACTCCTGACCCACCTCTGCCTCCCAAAGTGCTGGAAGTACAGGCATGAGCCACTGCGCCCGGCAATTTTTGTACTGTTTTGTAGAGATGGATTTCACAATATTGCCCAGGCTGGTCTTGAACTCCTGGGGTCAAGAGATCTGCCCACCTTGGCCTCCCAAAGTGTTGGAATTACAGGCGTGAGCCACCGCACTCAACCTTTTATTTTATTTTTGAAGACGGGCTCTTGCTGTGTTACCCAGGCTGGAGTGCAGTGGAGCAATCCTAGCTCACTGGAGGCTCCCACTCCTGGGCTCAAGGAATCCTCCTGCCTCCCCAGTAGCTGGGAGTACAGGTGGCCACCACCATCCCTGGCAGGCTCTGTTCTAACTCTGTCCGGCACTTTTAATGCATCTGAACCTGCTCTGAAGTGTAAAATACACAACAGATTTCAAAGACTTATTCTAAGAAAAAGAATACAAAATATCTCAGGGTTTAAAAAAAATAATTCCCGGCCAGGCTTGGTGGCTCACGCCTGTAATCCCAGCACTTTGGGAGGCCAAGGCGGGTGGATCACCTGAGCTCGGGAGTTCAAGACCAACCTGACCAACATGGTGAAACCCCGTCTCTACTAAAAATACAAAAAAGTAGCCGGGCATGGTAGTGCATGCCTGTAATTCCAGCTATTCAGGAGGCTGAGGCAGGAGACTTGCTTGAATCGGGAGGCGGAGGTTTCGGTGAGGCGAGATCATGCCATTGCACTCCAGCCTGGGCAACAAGAGCGAAACCCTGTCTCGAAACAAAACAAAGCAAAACAAAAACAATAACTTTGATCGGGCGCGGTGGCTCACACCTGTAATCCCAGCACTTGGGGAGGCTGAGGCGGGCAGATCACGAGGTCAGGAGATCGAGACCATCCTGGCTAACATGGTGAAACCCCGTCTCTACTAAAAATACAAAAAAGTAGCCAGGCATGGTGGGCGGCGCCTGTAGTCCCAGCTACTTGGAAGGCTGAGGCGGGAGAATGGCATGAACCTTGGAGGCGGAGCTTGCAGTGAGCCGAGATGGTGCCACTGCACTCCAGCCTGGGCAACAGAGCGAAACTCCGTCTCAAAAACAAAACAAAACAAAACAAAACAAAACAAAACAAAAAATCATTCCATGTTAAAGTGGTTAATACATTGGATCTATTGGGTTAAATGCAATCTTAACTTTATTTATTTATTTATCTGAGACTGAGTCTCACTCTGTCTCCCA